CCCCCAGAATGGGGGCTTTGTCTGTTGGGCTCATGTCAGGGTACACTGGGAAGGAGAAGGGCAAGAGTAGTGAGTTGAATAATGTCTTCCAAAATTCATGTCCACCTCAGAGAGTGGCCTTGTTTGGAAATAGGATGTTTGGAGATGTAATCGGTTAAGGGCCCCAAGGTGCACTCATACTGGATTTAGGGTGGGCCCTAAATCCAATGACCAGTGTCCTCAGAAGAGAAGAGGACACAGAGTTGAAGATGATGTGAAGATGGAGGCAGAGGCTGCAGTGATTCTGCCACAAGCCTACGAGCCCCAGAAGCAACCAGAAGCTGAAAGAGACAAGGAAGGATCCTCTCCTAGAGAGTTAGGGCCCCAAGGTGCACTCATCCTGGATTTAGGGTGGGCCCTAAATCCAATGACCAGTGTCCTCAGAAGAGAAGAGGACACAGAGTTGAAGATGATGTGAAGATGGAGGCAGAGGCTGCAGTGATTCTGCCACAAGCCTACGAGCCCCAGAAGCAACCAGAAGCTGAAAGAGACAAGGAAGGATCCTCTCCTAGAGCCTTCGGAGAGAGTCTGGCCCTGCTGACACCTTGATTGTGAACTTCTGGCTTCCAGAACTGTGAGAGAATAAACTATTGTTTTAAGCCACCAAGTCTGTGGTTATTTGTTATGGCAGCCTTAAGAAATGAAGAGAGGCAGGAATTTGTCCACTCGGTAAAAGTGGCAGTGTCTAGGAAGGGCTGTACCAAGTGGTTGGCCTGGGGGGAGGAGAGACAGGGAGAGAAGGGAGCTGGTCCAGCCCCTAGTGCAGGTGCCTGCTGCCCTCTGCACCAGGCCCCCTGGACCCTGCTTCTACCATTCCCGATGCCACCCAAGCCCCTCCCTGCTCTTTTGTCTGTATGTCTTTTTGTTTGTGTATCTATGGAGTCTGTGCCTCATCTCTCATTTCTGCAGAGATACCTGCCTTTCTCATCTCTGTGTGTTGCTTAGCTTCTAGTCCACCACTGACTCTCTCTATGAATCTTTCTCTTTTGCTTCTCAGCTCTGCAGCCCAAAAAAGAGGGTCTGATTAATCCAGATAAACATTATCTCATTTTGAGCCAGGTTGCCCTGAGCTCAGCCCCAGACAACTGTGGCCAAGACTAGGACTGGGGTGGCCTTCCTCATAGTATAGAACGCGCCATTGATGCGTGAGGAACTACGTGCCTCGGGCCACTTCCCTAGGGAGGGAAGTGTGCTCTTGGCAGTGGCCTAAGGAGGTGTGAAGAATGCCCCTGCTGCTCATCCTCAGCAGGATTACCCAGGCACTCTGGGTCCCTCACCACCTGGCCTCTGCAACCTTTCAACTTCAACCCTGGCTGTCCCATGAGCCCCATTCGCCTTAATGTCCTTATACTTTTGGCCCTTGTCCATGGTTCCTTGTCCAGTGTTCTCTTTACTCTCTGCTTTCACTTGGCTCACTCCTTCTTATCTCTGGCTTAGGCAGTCTAATTTGTTTTCCAGATATAAAACACACTACCACCAACTTAGTGGCCAGAAACGGTATACATTTATGATCTCAGTTTCCATGGGTCAGGAATCTGGGCTGGCTTAGCTGGTTCTGGTCTGCTTAGGGTTCCATGAGGCTGTCATCAGAGTGTTGACCAGGTTTGTCTTCATCAGAAGGCTCAACAAAGGAAGAACCCGCGTTCAAGCTCACTCTGGTTGTTGGTAAAATTCATCTCTTTATAGCTGTAGGACGGAGGTCCTGTTTTTTGTTGGCTGTCAGCCAGGGTTACTTCTTTAGCACCTGCCATGGGACCCTCTCTACTCAGTATGACAGTTTGCTTCTTCACGGGCAGCAGGAGAACATTGCTGACCTCAGGGAAGGCTACGCCCCCTTTTAAAGGGGTTCCAGCTGATTATGTCATGCTCACCCAAGATAGTCGACCTTTTGATTAACTTAAAGTCAGCTGATTTTTGGAACTCAATTACATCTGTAAAATGCCTTCACCCTGCCATTGACATCCATTATCTTTGCCATATACTGTAACCAGGGGTGGGAAATCATGGGGGCTACAGTCCTTTTTCCTTCAGGAAACCTTCTTTGGTCCCCTGTGTCTACTTTCATGTCTGGCACGCTTCATGAAACACTTTATTTATGTGTCTGCCTCCCACACTGGAACATGAGCTCATCAGAGACAAGGAGGGCATTTTATTTCTGTATTCCAGGGACTTGAATGTAGAGGCTCCATAAATACTTGTCCAACTGAATTGGATGGAAACCATAAATGGAAGCCTTTCTTCTAACTCTGTGGCCCCTCCCCCACATGGCGACCATGGCAGACATCACTAGTTGATCACAGTACTCCTGACCCCTTTCTGCCCCTAGGATGACCTGAGGGTCCTTCTCAAGGCAGGGGTGCAAGCAGCACCAACACACTCAGAGCCAGAATGAGAGATGAAACCTCTATTCTTACTATGCTAGACACACACTACTCTTACGGGATAATATATTTTTTTTACCTTGCTTTTCCCTCCTTGATTTCTAACCCTCATCTCTTATTTCCTGAGAGAGGACACCCTGTCTCTCTTGAATCTGGTCATCTCTTTTCTACCTGTCCAGGCATTGTGGACCTTGACTCTCCTCCTAGCTTTACCTTTGCCCACTATTCTAGCCCCAGAAGTGCCATTGTGGGATCTCCCGCTGCAACCACAAGACCTCAGAAACCTGCTCCTACGCAGCCCAAGCCCAGCCCAGTTCTCCCACTGGAACTTAGGATTTGGGCCTCCTCCTTCTGAGGTGCAAACCATGTTAATGAGGTATTCTTGTGGGCAGATGGCCTCGGCCCAGCCTCATTCTGGAGATTAACTACCAAAGAATTATGTTTGTGGAAGTCCCGTGGCTTCCAGTATGCCGTCCCCCTCACGGAGAGCAGCAGTCATTCAGCTGAGGACAGGTGCTGCATCACAAACTCCCGATTGCCTGGTCCCTATTTAACTTAGCCAAGGGAGAGATTTGGGCATCATATCAGACACTGTGGCCCTTTTACAGCTGTTGACAATCTTGAGTTCTGTCTCAACACCTTAGTCTACTCACCTGACCAATGGGGCTACACCACCCATGAACTCTGCTATGCAGAAGACTAAGAGGATCAGGAACAAATGACTAGAAAGGACAGGATAAACACCAAGGGGTTATAAACATTCTTCAAATGGATGACATTACCAAGCCTGCTAGCCTCCTTCCTCTTAGAATTCTAGCAAACCCTCTCAGGCTGGTTAAGCTTGTTTCTTGTTTTCCAAAGGACAGCAAGCACTTTTGGGTCTTAGACCTTGCATTTCACGACTGTTCAACCCTGATTGGAAACACAGTCCTCAGGCCTCCCTTATCAAGCAGAACCTGTCAGGATAATTTAGCGCTCAGGCAGAAGCAGCACATTGGAGGGCGTCTCTGGAGCATGCAGCAGGGAAGGCTGGGGATCTGGTGAGGGCCACAGGCAAGCAGCTGGTGATGGAAGGAGATGTGGGGAGTGGGCTGGGGAGAAGTCATTCATCTTCATGCACAGCATGGAAGCGGGTATAGTAGATTCAGAGTTTGCTTGGGATAAAACCAGGACAAAGTGTTGGTTTCTATCTACCTAGACGATAGCTAGTGCCATTTTCTGCATTCGGGAGAGGCTAGAAAGCCTGACCTCTGTATGTGTGTGCACCATGCCTTAACCTTCAGAGAGAGACCGTGACACTGTGTAGGAAGCAGGGGTGAGGACAAGTTCAAGGTCATGCATCTGGTAAGCTATCTTGCCTCGAGGGCTTGCTTTGGTTCTGGGGCAAAGACTTGAAGGGGCATACAATCCGTTGGACTGTATTCCTACTTCAATATGACGGCTACACTCACATTTGTCTCATGCCCCAGACTTCCACAGAGTATGGGGCTTCACAACAGGATCCTGCTATTATACATTTTTCCAACTTTATACAGTATGAGATGGTATTCCTGAATTGTTCTTGGACTGATTTGTTCTTCTTCTGAAATCTGATCATGGACATCTTTTCAACAATTAAAAAAAAAGACATGAACACAATTTCCTCAATTTTAACATTTTCCCCTGAAAATCTTAAGTGATTTCTCCTGAAACCACTGGGGCCTGCTACTTCCTGTCAAAACTAGAATCTAGGAAAGATAATGACGAATTTAGCAAGCAATTATACATTTGTTACATTTATTTAGCTTGATATATCAACATTTCATAGTGTTCAACATTTCACAGTGTTCTCCATAGAGAGGAGCCGCTATTCCTAGCTGCTCTGCTACCTGGACCCCTGTTGTTTCCTGCAGCACCTGGGAAGCCAGCTGTGTAGTAAGCCATTGTGAAGAGGAACACCCAGAGGGCAGGGCTAAGGGGGAGAGATGGACTCTTGAAATCCATGACAGCCACCAGCTTGGCAGCTTTTCTGACATTTCTGCATTATTGGAGATTCAGGTGAGCATTTTGCTTTTGAAGATTCTGAGCTGCAGAATTTGTAGACCAGGTTAACCTAGCCTAGAGCCTTTTATGATAGACTCTGAGAAGGCTATAAGCAGAAAGGTATGGAAAATATAGTAGAAGCATCCTAAAAACAATTAGTGAGACTGGCGGAAAGAATTAAAAGAAAAGTCTATATGCAAATGCTGATTATCCAAATATTTTTCCATCAAAATGGCTTTTATGGGTTGAATCGTATTGCCCTGTTTCGAGCCGGTCTCAGCTTATCAATAACCAGTGTTGTGGTTGGACTGGCCCTGCGGTTCTTATTATGATCGCAAGATGCCTTTCAGCAATAACCATCTGGAAACTTTGAAAAACATAAAGGTTTATTACTTAAGGCCTCGGAAATTACGCAGCACACCTGGGGCCACACAGCGAGTATGCAGGTAGAGAGAGACGGTGCACATAGGCCTGGGTTCTGCTTTTATTGGGATTGCGTGTGGGACCTAGAGTGTCTGGGCTCACTCTTGATTGGTGAATTTAAGACATAAGAGCAGGGTGCTTACTTCAGCAGCACATATACTAAACTTGGAATGATACAGAGAAGATTAGCATAACCCTTGTGCAAGAATGACATGCAAATTTGTGAAGCATTGCATATTTTCAGAAGGAAAGGAGAATATTTTGTGGACCATTTAGGGGTGTGTGTGTGTGTGTGTATGTGTGTGGCAGCTTTTTAGCTATTCGTTTTTAAAGTCGGTACTTTTTAATAGGAACAACTTGACCAAAAATCTGTCACAGAATTTTGAGACCCATTAAACATAAGAGCAGGAATTTACAGCACAGGGAGAAAATTAAAAACACGGCGGCCCAAATGATCAGTTATGAAATTAACCAAGATTTCTAAAATGAAGGAGCCTCAGTGAGGAGAGGTTGCCTGGCTTTGGTCTTATGGCTAGCAAAAGTTTAAATCGGGCAATTGCATTACAAAAAGAAAAAAAAAATTCAGGGTTTACACTACACCACCCATTCCTCAGATTTGCACATTAAAATCTTGGCCCCCAGCACCTTAGAATATGTCGTTATTTAGGAATTGAGTTCTTGCAGATGTGGTTAGTTAAGATGAGGTCATATGGGGGTAGGATGGACCCTAATCCAATATGACTGGTGTCCGTACACAGAGGGGAGATTTGGACACAGATACATACACAGGGAGAGTGCTCTGTGAAGACTGGAGTCACGCTTCCACGAGCCAAGGAAATATCAGAAACTAGGGGCGAGGCCTGGAACAGAGCCTTCCTCAGTGCCTTCAGAGGGCACACGGTCCTACCGACACCTTGATCTCAGACTTTCAGTCTCTAGAACTGGGAGATAACAAATTTCTCTTGTTTGAGCCACTCAGTTCGTAGTTCTTTGTTACTACAACCCTAGTGAGCTCCTACACTGACTGTCATATCTCTTGCTGGGGCGAGGGCTTTGGGCAGACACTGAAGTGCTTCGGCTTGCTGTATGGTTTATTCCGTCACCCTCGTACTTGGGAAGCACTATTCTCCAAAGTTACATCACCTAAGAATAACCTTGGCAGGCTATAGAGGCTGCAAGTTGGCTGTAATTAAAAGACTTAGGGGCATTTTCATTTTTTTTTTTTTAATATCTAAAGCAAGGCACACTTAACACCTCTTGATTAAACATGAAAGGTTCACACTGGCTTAGCAGAACATGGAGTTATCTGTCAACTTGCAATCATGCTAAATTCATAAATCTAATTTGGCTCTGGCATTAGGCCAGGAACAAATACAAGAGATTAACTTTTTTGAACTATTAGGACTAAAAATGAAAATTATTGTTATTCTGTTCTTTAATTGATTGATTTAATGTGATTTCTAGAGGCCACACACAGATCTCTTGCATGTGGGAGAATAGGAAATGGGAAAGAGATACTCATCCCCTTCCAGCCACTCAATTGCAAAAATTCAGTCGTGGAACATGTCACTGAAGTAATCATGTCTCAAGATGGCTTCTGATTTATGGACTCATAGAGTCCTACAGAGGTCACCTGGCATAAACTCCACATTCTATGGATGAGAAAGTGAGGGTTAGAAAGTTAACGTAGGTCAAAACCATTTGCTGAAGTTCCATCATGTTCCAGCCACCGAGATAGCACTAGGGGTGTCGGCACGAATCCTATCTCCTGCCCTGAAGGATCATATGGTCTAACGAGGGACAGAGGACAGCAATGGGCATATGCACAGGACACAACTGTAGCACAGAGGAGAGGCTTTGGGCCTTTAGAATGGTGATTAAGGATGGTTTTCAGCTGAACCTTAAAGGATGAGAAGAGTTGACTAAGTGAAGGAAGAGAAAGACATGTGTTTTAGGAAATGGGGACTGTAGGGAGAATAGTCTGAAGCTGAGACGGTCTAGTTCTCCAGCCATTCAGGGCCTTGCCTGCTGTTTCAAAGAGCTTGGGCATCATTGGAAAATGACGAGAAATCCTTGAAATGCTTGGGGAAGGGCCTGTTGACCTGCGTTTGTGTTTAAGTAGCTCTGTCTGTCGGGAAGGGGAAGGCTGGATTGGAAGGAATTGGTCTGGGGGAAACTGCCAATAGTTCAGGTGAGAGACGATGACGATCCAGATGGGAGCAGTGGCCACAGTGATAGAGACAAGGGGATGGGGCCAAGAAACACTGAGAATGGTTGGCACTTGGAAATCAATAGGATGTGTCATGAGGGAGATGGAGGTGACAAAAGGACTGCAAGCTTCCTAGTTTGGGGTCCAACTGAGTGGTTGTAAGTGATAGAAACCCAGATGAAATTACAGTTGACCCTTGCGAAACACAGGTTTGAACTGTGATGATCCACTCACTTATATGCAGAGTTTTTTTCAATAAATATACAGTTGGCCCTCTGTATCCATGGGTTGCACAGTCATGGGTTCTATCACTGTGGGTCGAAAACAGTATTTGTTTGATCCCAGACTTGAGATGGACTCTAGTTTGAATAGGCTGAGTTGGTGGACAGTGGACAACCCATTAAATGGCAGAGCCCATACCAGTCTGAGGCTGTGGGGAGAAATGTCAGCTATAACTGGAGCCAACAGCAGACAAAACATGAGCCCTGGAGCTTGACTGCCTAGAGTTAACTCTTGTCTCTTCAACTTACTAGCTGTGTGACCTGGGGCAGATTTCTTAACCTCTCTGTCCTCGGTTTCCTTATCAGTAAAATTGGGTGATATTGTACTCATCTTAAAGGGTTGTTGTGGTGATTATGCAATTGAATACATGGTAGGCTATTACAATGAAGCCAAACATAGGGTAAACACTATAGAAGTATGAGCATTTATTATCAAGGTGATCAGTGAGGCAACTTTGTCTTTGGAACCCAGGGGAGTAGAGCAGGCTAAGTGGAGGGGAGGGTCAAAAGTGTCCAATGCAGCAGAGATTTTGGAGCCCTTGCCAAAGCTGAGACAATTTGGGAAGCCCTCTTAAAAAAACAAAATTAGATAGAAAAGCTACTTTATATTTATAAGGGGAAAAAAACATCCAAACAAATTACACATTTAAAATAGACCAACAAGCATGGCAGCCAAAAGGTGCTATGCAGTTGTAGTCAGAGCTCAGGGCTCATGGACTGTGTGGTGAATGCCCCGTGGTGGGTGGGAAGGAGGCCCGTGTGTTTGCGGGGACTTTGGGGATATGATGAGTTTCCCACTCGGCTCCCAGCAGGAGATTCCATGGCACTGGCTGAGCTCTTGCCTTGGCGACGTAGTCCTCATTCTTCGTCGAGGGAAAAGAAAGCTCCCAGAAAGTCCCGTCCATGCAAGGCAGACATGAGGGGCCCTGGGAACAGATACGCGTTGTTCTTGGTATCTGCTCGTCCTAAAGTGTTATCCCAGGAAGACTTCCAGGGTCTCTCCGCTCCCATCTCCCACCCCCTCGTTCTTCCCTATCTGGAATCCTGCTGGCTCCCTTCTATGTTCTTTTGTAACTGTCATCAGTCTTTCTAGCTAGAAGACTATGTCCATGAGGGCAAGCCCATAGCTCTATTCACTGTTGCATCCCAGGACCACGGAGCCTAGTACAAAGTTGGCCCTCAAAAAATCTGTGCCGAAGAAATGCATGGATTCATTAATTAATTAATAAAGGACTGAAATAATGGAAGAGAAAGTCCTTGGAATGCCTAAGAAGTTAAATTGTACATCGTTTCTTCCCTTTCTTTACTTTTGAAAGTAGATTCGCGTGTTTGGATTAATCATTTGTTGGGAAATAAAAGGACCAGGGAGGAGTACTGGGTCAGGAATACTGGCTAGTGAGAGACCTGAAGTCTCTGCATGAATATTTCCTGTTCCTCCTATATGTGGGAGATAATCCAAGTTCATATGTAACTAAAATACATGTTGTTTCTGTACTACTTTGTTCAAGATATTTCTGAAAAGGTTCATTGCAAAGATACTATTCAACAGAGGTAATATAGGTCTGACCCTTGAACATACATTCTTCCTGAAACATGAACACATTAAACCCCGAGCCAGCTGGGATGTAGACAAAAAGCACAGAGCTCAGGGGCTGGCCAGCTCTGCCTCCTTCTAGCTTTGAGACTCTGAACAAGTTACCTAATTTCTCAGGGCCTCAGGATTAAGGGACCTCCAAACTCTGAGCTCATGCTTCTTTAGGACAAACTCAGGTGGAGCTAATCTCAGGGACCCCACTGAGCTTAAGGGCAGGCACACCCCTTGGGATTTCCAGGTGCCAAAGCATCCTGGCACCTCTCACATTCCCATAGCTCACTGCAGCCCACCCTGAGCCAGTGCCCAAAGCTGGCCTATGGAGAGACATTCTTGGCAAGAGGAAAATCTTAGGTAGAAGGACTATGACCCATCAGATGAAAAGGGAATCAAGATGGAAGTAGGGCTCAGACCCTTTGTTATAAGGAAGCCAGGCTTGCTTCTGTGTTTTCCGCTACACAGCATTGGACCAGTAGAGGGCAGAAGAGAGCAACGTTGCTTTTTTTTTCAGGCCCACCAGAAAAGGCATTAGTCCCATGGACTGCCCAAGACAGGTGACATTGTATATCCATTCACAGGTTTTCTTAAAAATTTATTTGTCAATTTACAGGTTGTTTGAACTTGAACAAGTCACTTCATCTCTCTGACCCTTAGTTCCATACCTATCCAATGAAGAGAAAGTATTTGCATAGGGATACAAGGTTTAAATGACATAATACATCTATTTAGCAATTTCTGACACAGAGCAAGTATTCAAAATAGTAGCTACTCCTATTGCCATTATTAATTAATTTGTTCAATTGTTAATTAATCCAATAATTTCAATTCACAAAACATTTATTTATCTAGTACCTGTTATGTAAAAAATACTGCCCTAGATGGTAGGAGGGTGGGGATGAGTTTCAAAAATAACTCAGATATGGTCTCCCGGATAGAGAAAACTTTGCAAAGTAACTGCTATGAGGAAAGATGAGGGGGTTCCCCACTAGTGGGAGACATGAAAGGCACCTTCTTGGAATGCTGAGCCTTTGAAATAAATACCTTATTGAAATCACAGATGTGCAGGCCTCAGCCCAGATGCACAGAATTTCCATCTCCAAGGATGGGGCTGGCTTGTCTGCGTCTTTACAAAGCTTCCCAGTGATCCCAATAATAAACAAG